CGACTTTGGGACTCTAACCCAAATTCACTACTGTCGTATACTTGATCCTTGCTACATATAAATGCGCCTGTGTGTGTGATTTATAACCCAATAACACTACTGCCATACTTGATCCTTGCTACTGTTACGCCTCCAGTCGTTAATTAATTTTCCGTAACTTCGTTCCCACGAAACTTTAGCGACACAAGTCCTTTCTTAATAAAACTGGTTTATTCTTTCTGAATATAACTTTACCGATACACTTATTTCAACAGTCGCTCAATAACAAACGCTATAACAACGAACTTCAACAATACTTTCTGACTGCAAATCAATTACTCACTACCTACACACACGTTTCATCACGTTGTGAGCGTCTTATATACCAGACCACCCCCCAATCTAGTAAATGCTGGAGCACTCCCGAAGGAACAGGATAGTTCTAGAAAGCAGGTGGCGTGACACTAGTCACGTGACCTCGCTGACGCAACACTGCCCTTCCTTAGTATTGTTCGCCCCGAACAATAACCACATACAATACACCAATAACAATTAACAATAACTTAATTAAATGTACAGAATTACAATCACAAAATTACAATTCAACAAAGTCTCTTAATTTTACGGGACGTATCTTCTTCTGTACTGGTCTCCGTCTCGTTGGCTTCTGCTTCATGTGGGATTTATCTGCTTCATCAGTAAATGTCCTTTCGTCAGTAACAGTCACATCAGTGGTAGTAACTTAATCAAGAGCTTCATCATTTCCCTTCTCGAAACTGAGTAGAGTTTCTTCTTCGACGTAGGCTTTTTCAGGTGACACCTCTTCAGCAGCGTCATTTGTTCCCTTGTTCACTTCATCCCAACTGAAATGTCCTGGACCATGATAACGCCAAAGCCTGTTGGCATGCACCACTTTTGGCATACCTCGCCGACCACATTTTATCCGGAAAGTCACGTCTGAGAGACGATACACTATGCCATATGGGCCTTCCCATGGAGAAGACAACTTAGGAGACTTCCCTTTGGTCTTCCTGCGATTATACAACCACACCTTGTCTCCTGGTTCAAAGCTGACTTCAGTAG